TTTTTACAGACACTCACTGTTAAGAGTAAAGATTTATTTATATAGTTTACATACACATATAAATTACTTTAAATAACAGCAAACTTTACTACCACAGCGCATGGTCATTTTTCAAATCAAAATACCGCGCTGTTAGGAGGCCGATCGCGCTTTTCCGGCTCCATTTTCCACACTTCCGTTACTTTTCACGAAATCACTCTCACAGATTGCGGGAAAGATGTTACACAGTAAAAAATTAAATATGCAAAGTTCGAAGTAATATATGTTTTGCAAATCCGAGCTTGTAGCAGCTATTAAAGAGTACGATGGTCGTCACAGCCATCGCCCTCCTCGTCTTCTCGACTATTAAAAGAAAGCTGACGCCGCAAGAAAATGTACTATACCCGCGCCTATCTATTCTACGATGAAAAATGAGTATTGATAAATTAATTATTAAATTATTAACTAAACCACTTAACAACTTGTTGTTTTTAAATTATTACTGTGTATTTAATGTGAATGTACACGTCATAATATAAAATATTTTATATGAATTATTAAAATAATCGCATCATACAAAATTGGTTTAAAAGTAGAGCTTAATGTACAAACCTCTCAATATTTAAATTTGTTATTCTCTATCTTTTTAAATAAATTTTCGAAAAAATTAATACTTGGTCATGAATCTTGTATTAATATGTATATCTAAGTATACGTACTCAAAAAATAATTATATACGTTCTTAGTATTAATTTGGAATTACCTGTGCTGTTCCTATTTTTCGAATTACGATGGTGTATATCATTATTACTTTGTAAATAATATTCGCGTATTAGAACAAATATAAAGTATTTATATGCATACATTATGGCTACTTAAAGTTGAAATTATGAATCAAGGGAGTGTAAATTACAAAAAAAAACTGTGGGTGCACACATTTTTTTTATATTGATATAAACTAACGTAATGATTTCTTATATATATACGAATACTACACATGATATAAAATTACCTCTTTATCTATATTACTCCATACCTCTCCATATTCGTCGTTCTAAATCTCTTCACTCTTTCAAAAGTCTTGTTAAATCGTATTATTTAGAACGCTATTAGATAAATTACTTTACCTTTCTCGTACTCTTTTCATTTAATATATTATATGATATTTCATGTATAACTTTCACTTATTTTTATTTGTATGTATTATTATAATTTTTTTATTATTATTTTGTGTGCCCCCCTCTATTTGTAACTTTTGTTTGCATCATTCCTCTATGCAAAAGTTGTCTGGAAGAAATCACTTTCAGAATGATAAGACCGCCTATTGTACATACTTTAATTAGTTTTAACTACATTGATGTTTCTGTATTGTGGTGTACAAAAAAGAATAAATAAATAAATAATAAATAAATAAAATTGTTTTACCTATTTTATCGGCCTTAATAATTTTTGAAATAAAATTTGGAGTAGGGCAACGGAACCGAAGGGGCCAGCAGCTGGCCGACTTTATGGAGAAAGAGGGACTCTTTATGATGAACTCTTTCTTCCAGAAGCGGCCCCACAGGAAGTGGACCTGGTCGAGCCCCGACGGTTCGACAAAAAATGAGATTGACTTCATTATGACGACCAGACGCCAACTGTTCAGTGATGTCTCAGTGATCGCAAGGGTGAAAACTGGCAGCGATCACCGAATGGTTAGAGGCACACTGAACCTAAACGTTAAGTTGGAGAGGTCTCGTCTAATGAAGTCAACGCTCCGTCCCCCTCGTGCTCTAATCCAGAATCCCGAAACCTTTCAGCTCGAGTTACGTAACCGCTTCCAGTGCCTAGAAGATTGCAATGCAGTGGACGATATGAACGACAAGCTCGTGGAAACTGTCCATGCGGTCGGAGCTAAGTTCTGCAAGACCCGCCGCAGAAGAACACAAAAACTCTCCGATCACACTCTTAATCTCATGGCTGTTAGACGGGAGATGAGGCTGCAATCGTCAACAGATTTGACAGCATACAGGCAACTGAACAGACAGATCTCCAAATGCATACGGCGAGACTTACGCAACTTTAATACTTCTCGTATTAAAGAAGCGATCGAGCGGAACCAGGGCTCCAAAGTCTTTGCCAGAGATCTGTCTGCCAGAAAGAGCCAACTGTCGAGGCTGAAGACTGAGTGTGGCAACATCGTTTCCGGGACACCTGAGATTTTGAGTGAGATTGAGAGGTTCTATGGGCAGCTGTACACATCATCGTTGGAGCCACACGCAAGTGTGAGTAACGATCCAAGAGCAAGTCTTATCCGACACTATTCCGATGATATCCCGGACGTCAGTCTAAGCGAGATTAGAATGGCTCTCCAGCACCTTAAAAACGGCAGGGCCCCAGGCGAGGATGGAATTACAGCGGAGCTTCTGAAAGCGGGTGGAACACCGGTACTTGAAGTCCTTCAGAAGCTCTTCAATTCCGTCCTCCATGGTGGCACTACTCCAGAGGCGTGGAGCAGAAGTGCGGTGGTCTTGTTCTTTAAGAAAGGCGACAACGCTCTCTTAAAGAACTACAGACCGATTTCCCCTTCTGAGCCGCGTCTACGTGCTGTTTTCGAGAGTCATTACGAATCGTCTCGCACGCAGACTTGACGACTTCCAGCCTCCCGAACAAGCCGGTTTCCGAAAAGGCTTCAGTACCATAGACCACATACATACCCTGCGGCAGATTGTACAGAAGACTGAAGAGTACAATCTGCCACTTTGCCTGGCGTATGTAGACTATGAGAAAGCCTTTGATTCCGTCGAAATTTGGGCGGTGCTACAGTCCCTTCAGCGGTGCCAAGTTGACTGTCGGTATATCGAAGTGCTGAAGTGTTTGTACAGTAGGGCTACGATGGCTATCCGAGTACAGAACCAGAGCTCGAAACCTATCCAACTGCAGAGAGGGGTAAGACAGGGTGACGTTATATCCCCGAAACTCTTCACCGCTGCATTGGAAGACGCTTTCAAGCTACTGGACTGGAAAGGATACGGTATTGACATCAATGGCGAGTACATCACTCACCTTCGATTTGCCGACGATATAGTCCTTATGGCAGAATCGCTGGAGGACTTAAGCACTATGCTCAATGACCTCAATAGTGCCTCCCAACGGATAGGTCTTAAGATGAACATGGACAAAACAAAGATCATGTTCAATGTCCATGTCACACCTATGCCGGTAGTTGTTGGGAGCACTATGCTCGAAGTTGTTGACGAATACGTTTACCTGGGACAAATAGTCCGACTAGGTAAGTCCAACTTCGACCGAGAGGTCAATCGACGGATTCAACTCGGCTGGGCAGCGTTCGGGAAATTACGGCATATCTTTTCGTCAGGTATACCTCAATCTCTAAAAACTAGATTGTACAACCGGTGCGTGTTGCCAGTGATGACTTACGGATCTGAGACGTGGTCCTTCACTGCTGGCCGTATGAGGACGCTTAAGGTCGCTCAGCGAGCTATGGAGAGGGCTATGCTCGGAGTTTCTCTGCGTGATAGACTCAGAAATGAGGATATCCGCAGTAAAACCAGAGTGACCGACGTAGCCCAACGGATTAGTAAGCTGAAGTGGCAATGGGCCGGCCATATAGCTCGAAGAACCGATAACCGATGGGGAAGAAAGGTTCTCGAGTGGCAGCCTCGTACCGGTAGGCGTAGTGTAGGGCGACCCCCCACTAGATGGAGTGACGACCTGGTAAGACATGCAGGAAGTCGATGGATGCAGGTGGCTCAGGACCGTGCTTTGTGGCATTACTTGGGGGAGGCCTATGTTCAGCAGTGGACTTGTGAAGGGCTGTAATGATGATGATGATGACCGACGTTTTGGTTACTCTACAACACACATATTAACGGAAGGGTCCCCACCGTGACTATAACTTTGGTTTTGACGTATTGATGTCATACTTAATAAAGGCTACCTTTGAATTATAATAATAAATTTTTCTTCCAATATACGCAGGACGAGCTTACAGTATCTTGAAACTTGCTTGACGTACCTGAGTTCGGTGGCCAGGATTTTACTTTCACTACAAGCTACCGAAGATTAGTCAGTTGTTATTATCCGTTAAGTGTAATATCCCTCGAAAAGATGCAAGAGACTACAAGCTTGATTGTAAATGTGGTCTCTCATACAAAGGGTAAACAAAAAGATCCATAAAACCCGTATGAAAGAACATATCGCTAATATAAAGAATAGATGCTTCAAAATGCTGTGTTGGTCCCTACTTTAACATATACTAGTGAAGGTTGGGTGTGGCAAAAGAAGTACGAGAGTAGAATAAATACAGTAGAAATGCGGTAGTTAAGTAGTATGTCAGGGCTCAATCTGATTGACAGGGTGAGAAATTGTGTGGTTTGCAAGATGATGTTGTGACCAGGATTAACCGTTGGACCGGTGGTATGTTCATACGGAAACAATAATAATAATAATAATAATAATGAGGCGACTAGGACTCCGTGACGGACCGCTCCGGGCTCAAATGCAGAAGGCGGTACTCCTCGATACCGCCCACTTCGTCCGCTGGTTTCATTCCCTTTCCCCCTAACCCTCGGCCGTTTGGTCTCCTCTGCGCAGGGCTCCCATCTGGTTGTATCTTATTTATTTATGTAGTTTTTGTATTTATTTTATTTTATTGATATTTATGTACATTTATCTTTTCATTTTAATTTATAATTATATATTTATAGAATCCATAAGGATGATGGAATACGGAAGAACGTGCAAAGGGCCGCTGCCTGGAGGTCGCCAGGGCGCGTCTAGAGCTGGCGCTGGACGCGACAGCATGCGAACCGCCAGCAGAGCGCGAGGTGCTGCACGACCACCCAGTAGCCCCTCGCATCCATCATCCCCACCAGCTGGTTTGGTGTCGGCAGGGTCTTCGCCGGCCCAGCATTCGGCACCCGCTACTGGTGGAGTACGCCGCATGCGTTGGACAACCCAGATGAACAGCAACGCATTGCGGGCGTATTTTAGGGTGAAAGGGGGAGAAACTGGAGGTTTTGCGTATCGGGCAAGGATGCATCGACTTTTTTGCTGAGCTGGAGCTATCTGTAACCGTCACCGAGCAAAACCTGGCAGACCGAGTCCGGTATATCTTGCGCTCAAATACATTTGATGTCACCGAACTCGAACGGCTACGACGTGAGGCTGTTCCTTCATCGGGTGAAAATGCTGCGGCTGAGGATGCGGCGCCACAACTTGCTGAGCAAACGGCAAATGTGGATGCCGCCGTGAATACGCCAGTTGTGGTTGATTCAAACGATGATGGAACAGTCGACCAGGAACTGGAACTAGAGCAAATGAGGAGTACATTGGAAGAGGCGATTGTGGAAACGCGCAGTACGCCTCTCGAAAATCGACCGCGACTTCCCCCGCTTAACCCTAAGCAAGCGGAATCGGGCTGTCGTGAGGGCTCTGAACCCAATGCTGGTTACCTATTTGGAAGCCAGCCGGGACCTTTGTAAGACGGAATCAATTCTTTTTGGCACCGCACTGGCAGTCTGCCGTATTATATGCGCCAAACTTTCCACGGCTGGACGCGCTACTGGACAAAGTAGTGCTATCCCAGCCTGAAGAACAAGAATTGAAGAACGTATCGCAAAGGCTAGGGCCTTCATCGGCGGACTGATATGCTTCAGGTCCGGTAATACCAGGCCAAGGATTGTGCGCACCGTCAGGATGGCGCTTGCTGGGACAAATGTTAGTTTGTCCCAGCCGGATATAATGCAAAAATTGACGGAGCGTATTGACGACCTGAAGCGAAGAATAGCTGCTTGGGGAAAGCGGATTCGGCGATATACCGAGAGGTAAACACGGTTCAACCAGAATCGTCTCTTCCAGAGTGATCAGAAGAGGCTCTATAAATCATTGGAGCGACCAATAGTAAGTGGAACGGGCCCTGCACCAAATAAGGCCGACACGGTCGCTTTCTGGCGCAGCCTGTGGTCAGAGCCCGTAAACCACAACGAGGGCCCTTGGACGGAAATTGTGGCGAGTCAGTGTGCGGGTATTATGCCCATGGACCCCGTTATCATAACGCCGGATGACGTAGCTTAGGCGGTCTGTAGGGCCCCGAAATGGAAAAGTCCGGGGCTTAACGGGCTGCATCACTTCTGGCTGAAGGGGTTCATGGTGTGTCACGCTGTGCTCGCTCGACAGTTTCAAGAGGCTCTCAACCAGAAGTCGCTCCCCAGCCTCTTCACTACTGGGATCACTCATTTGGTTCCTAAAGATCAGGGTGCCACAGACCCGTGCAAATACCGTCCCATCACGTGTCTACCGACTATATACAAGACACTAACATCCATTTTGAGCGCGAGAATCGCTCGTCACCTGGACTCAAATCAGGTGATGTCGCGCGCTCAAAATGGATGTCGGGGCGGCGGTCGTAGAACCAAGGAAACACTCCTCATTGACGCGGTCATTGGCAAAGTGGTGAAACGCAACCGTCGGAACTTCTCCGCCGCTTGGATAGATTACAGAAAGGCATTTGACTCGGTTCCCCATACATGGCTAAAGAGGGTCCTCGAGCTGTACAAGATTGACTGTACAGTTCGAGACTTCCTCGAGCAGTGTATGGGGCAGTGGAGTACGATCCTCTGTCATCTAGGCGAGCGGATGACGGCTGCGGAAAGCCGCATAAGGGTAAGAAGGGGTATATTCCATGGCGACTGTCTGAGTCCAATCTGGTTCTGCCTCTATTTGAACCCTCTCAGTACTTTACTGGAGGGCTCCGGGAGGGGATTTCAGCTTCGGAAAGGAGGTACAAAAATGACCCACCTTTTCTATATGGATGATCTCAAATTATTCGCCTCCAGTCGCTCCCATCTTATGGAATTGCTAAACATCACTTGTGAATTTAGCAATTCTATTAGAATGGAGCTGGGGACGGATAAGTGTGCGGTCCTCCATGTTGACAGGGGAAGGGTCGCTAACTCTGAGGGCATAGACTTATCTATGCCCGTCAACTTAAGGGCCCTTTCCGAGGTTGAAACATACCGATACCTGGGTATGTCACAGAACATCGGTATCGATGAGGCTGGTACGAAACAGTCAGTTTGCGACGTGTTTTATGCACGCTTGACCAAAGTGCTTAACAGCCTTTTTGTCCGGTGTAAAAAAGACACATGCATATAACGGTTGGGTCATGCCTGTCCTCATGTATACCTTTGGCATACTCAGGTGGAGTCAGACTGAACTTAACGCCCTGGATAGAAAAGTCCGCACTACAATGACGTCCCATAGGATGCATCATCCGAGATCGTCGGTAATGAGGCTGTACTTGCCGCGAAAGCATGGTGAGCGTGGCTTCCTGAGCGCGCTCACCATGCATAATCGCGAAGTGTGCAGCCTCCGTCATTACTTCCTGGCGAGATCGGATGATCCATTCTATAATGACGTTATTTCTAGTGATAAAGGTCTTACCCCTCTATCCTTAGCCAACGAGCAATGGCAAGACCCGGCAGTACAGAGCATTTCCGACCGGGAGACCGTATGGAAGGAGAAGAAGCTACATGGGAGGTACTACAGGGCTCTACATGAGCCTCACGTAGATACATCCGCCTCCCTCAACTGGCTACGTTTCGGTGACCTTTTCGGGGAAACCGAGGGTTTTGTCTGTGCAATAGAGGATCAGGTTATTGAGACCAACAATTATCGGAAATACATCCTAAAGGATGGCACTGTCGACGTCTGTCGGGCTTGTCGTCTTCCCGGGGAGTCACTTAGGCATGTCATCTCCGGTTGTTCGGCGCTTTCTAACTCTGAGTACTTGTACAGGCACAACCTAGTAGCCAGAATTCTACACCAGGAGCTCGCTCTGAAATACGGTCTCGTGGACCGAAAATTGCCGTATTACAAGTACTTGTCGGAAGCCGTGCTCGAAAATGACCGCGCCAGGCTCTACTAGGACCGGGCCATCATCACAGACAGGACTATTCTTGCGAATAAACTTGATATTGTGCTGATGGACCTGGCACAGTCAAGGATATTTTTGATCGACATTACCATTCCGTATGACGAGAACCTCGTGAAAGCCGAAACAGATAAACGAACAAAATATCTGGACCTAGCTCACGAGGTGACCGACATGTGGGGTGGTATGCCGACCGAAATTATTCCTGTAGTCATCTCTGCGAATGGGCTAATCCCAGTCACCCTCTCGGGTCATCTGAGTTGACTGGGACTCCGTGACGGACCGAGGCGACGGACGGCTCAAACGCAGAAGGCGGTGCTCCTCGATACCACCCGCATCGTCCGCCGGTTTCTTTCCCTTTCCCCTAACCCTCGGCCGTTTGGTCTCCCCTGCCGAGGGCTCCCATCTGGTTGGATCCTATTTATTTATGTAGTTTTTGTATTTATTTTATTTTATTGATATTTATGTACATTTGCCCTGTAGTGGCGGTTAAGAATATCCACTACCTCATATCTTCCCGTGGGTGTCGTTAAAGGCGACAGAGGGAGACAGGCAGGAGATGGGCAGCAGCATCTTCCTGATAATAGCAACTGTACGACAAAAAAAACTGCGGTTGCCAACCCGCTCGCCAGGCGTGGCAACTATGGCAATATACCCCCCATGAACAATTACACAAATAGACGGCCCCCAGTCCCCGGCGGCCCTGCTATTCCTGGCTACGGTGGTGACCATGGTAACTGCGGGGCAGGGGGTGCTAAGAATCTCCGGTGGAGGTTCGGTTGCCACCTACGACGACTCGACCTGGCAACATTTAACGCACGCACACTGAGGACTGACGAGAAGATCCTGGAGCTGGAAGAGGAGATAGACAAGTTGCGCTGGAGTATTATAGGATTATCCGAGGTCCGAAGAGAGGGGGAGGACACGGTGATTCTCGAATCCGGCAACTTGTTCTATCACCGGGAGGGCGACCATCTGTCCCAAGGAGGTGTCGGATTTATCGTCCACAAGTCTCTCGTCAACAACGTTGTAAAGATTGGAAGTGTGTCGACGAGGGTCGCGTACCTGATACTCAGAATCACCAAACGGTATATGCTGAAGGTCATACAGGTTTACGCACCAACCTCGGCACATTCCGATGAGGAGGTGGAGGAAATGTATGAGGATATTTCCAAAGCCATGCATTCCTCCAAAACCCACTACACGGTGTTGATGGGAGACTTCAACGCAAAACTAGGCACAAGAGAAAGCGGTGAGCTGAAGTTAGGGAAATTTGGAGCAGGGCAACGGAACCGAAGGGGCCAGCAGCTGGCCGACTTTATGGAGAAAGAGGGACTCTTTATGATGAACTCTTTCTTCCAGAAGCGGCCCCACAGGAAGTGGACCTGTTAGAGCCCCGACGGTTTGACAAAAAATGAGATTGACTTCATTATGACGACCAGACGCCAACTGTTCAGTGATGTCTCAGTGATCGCAAGGGTGAAAACTGGCAGCGATCACCGAATGGTTAGAGGCACACTGAACCTAAACGTTAAGTTGGAGAGGTCTCGTCTAATGAAGTCAACGCTCCGTCCCCCCCGTGCTCTAATCCAAAATCCCGAAAACTTTCAGCTCGAGTTACACAACCGCTTTCAGTGCCTACAAGATTGCAATGCAGTGGACGATATGAATGACAAGCTCGTGGAAACTGTCCATGCGGTCGGAGCTAAGTTCTGCAAGACCCGCCGCAGAAGAACACAAAAACTCTCCGATCACACTCTTAATCTCATGGCTGTTAGACGGGAGATGAGGCTGCAATCTTCAAGAGATTTGACAGCATACAGGCAACTGAACAGACAGATCTCCAAATGCATGCGACGAGACTTACGCAACTTTAATACTGCTCGTATTAAAGAAGCGATCGAGCGGAACCAGGGCTCCAAAGTCTTTGCCAGAGATCTGTCTGCCAGCAAGAGCCAACTGTCAAAGCTGAAGACTGAGTGTGGCAGCATCGTTTCCGGGAAACCTGAGATTTTGAGTGAGATTGAGAGGTTCTATGGGCAGCTGTACACATCATCGTTGGAGCCACACGCAAGTGTGAGTAACGATCCAAGAACAAGTCTTATCCGACACTATTCCGATGATATCCCGGACGTCAGTCTAAGCGAGATTAGAATGGCTCTCCAGCACCTTAAAAACGGCAGGGCCCCAGGTGAGGATGGAATTACAGCGGAGCTTCTGAAAGCGGGTGGAACACCGGTACTTGAAGTCCTTCAGAAGCTCTTCAATTCCGTCCTCCATGGTGGCATTACTCCAGAGGCGTGGAGCAGAAGTGCGGTGGTCTTGTTCTTTAAGAAAGGCGACAACGCTCTCTTGAAGAACTACAGACCGATTTCCTTTCTGAGCCGCGTCTACGTGCTGTTTTCGAGAGTCATTACGAATCGTCTCGCACGCAGACTCGACGACTTCCAGCCTCCCGAACAAGCCGGTTTCCGAAAAGGCTTCAGGACCATAGACCACATACATACCCTGCGGCAGATTGTACAGAAGACTGAAGAGTACAATTTGCCACTTTGCCTGGCGTATGTGGACTATGAGAAAGCCCTTGATTCCGTCGAAATTTGGGCAGTGCTGCAGTCCCTTCAGCGGTGCCAAGTTGACTGTCGGTATATCGAAGTGCTGAAGTGTTTGTACAGTAGGGCTACGATGGCTATCCAAGTACAGAACCAGAGCTCGAAACCTATCCAACTGCAGAGAGGTGTAAGACAGGGTGACGTTATATCCCCGAAACTCTTCACCGCTGCTTTGGAAGACGTTTTCAAGCTACTGGACTGGAAAGGATACGGTATTAACATCAATGGCGAGTACATCACTTACCTTCGATTTGCCGACGATATAGTCCTTATGGCAGAATCGCTGAAGGACTTAAGCACAATGACCTCAATAGTGCCTCCCAACGGATAGGTCTTAAGATGACCATGGACAAAACAAAGATCATGTTTAATTTCCATGTCACACCTATGCCGGTAGTTGTTGGGAGCACTATGCTCGAAGTTGTTGACGAGTACGTTTACCTGGGACAAATAGTCCGACTAGGTAAGTCCAACTTTGACCGAGAGGTCAATCGACGGATTCAACTCGGCTGGGCAGCGTTCGGGAAATTACGACACATCTTCTCGTCAGGTATACCTCAATCTCTGAAAACTAAAGTGTACAACCATTGCGTGTTGCCAGTGATGAATTACGGATCAGAGACATGGACCTTCACTGCTGGCCGTATGAGGACGCTCAAGGTCGCTCAGCGAGCTATGGAGAGGGCTATGCTTGGAGTTTATCTGCGTGATAGACTCAGAAATGAGAATATCAGCAATAAAACCAGAGTGACCGACATAGCCCAACGGATTAGTAAGCTGAAGTGGCAATGGGCCGGCCATATAGCTCGAAGAACCGATAACCGATGGGGAAGAAAGGTTCTCGAGTGGCAGCATCGTACCGGTAGGCGTAGTGTAGGGCGACCCCCCACTAGATGGAGTGACGACCTGGTAAGATATGCAGGAAGTCGATGGATGCAGGTGGCTCAGGCCCGTGCTTTGTGGCATTACTTGGGGGAGGCCTATGTTCAGCAGTGGACTTGTGAAGGGCTGTGATGATGATGATGATGATGATGTACATTTATCTTTTCATTTTAATTTATAATTATATATTTATAGAACCCAACCAGGTGAGAAAATTATATAGATACCCCAAATAATAATAATAATATATAATATAATAAATATAATATAATAATAATAATAAAATGGCGTAGGGAAGTGACGACCCCATCGCCCGCTGACGTGACGGTTATGTGACAAAACCGCTACGTCCGCGCAGTCAGTCAGCACCTTGCCAAGAGGTGTGAGCGCCGTGCCCCGGCAAAAATTGATGGTGCAAGGGCCCGCTTGTCCATATGGCCTCACCATGAAACGGCGCCGGGTCTGGGCGTCTCCCGTTAAATGACGCCCTGTATGGATGATTGAACACAGAAGATTGCGCAAAGGGCCGCTGCCTGGAGGTCGTCAGGGCGCGTCTGGAGCTGGCGCTGGACGCGACAGCATGCGAACCACCAGCCGAACGCGAGGTGCTGCACAAACACCCAGTAGCCCCTCGCATCCATAATCCCCACCAGCTTGCTTGGTGTCGGCAGGGTCTTCGCAGACTCAGCAATCGGCACCCGCCACTGGTGGAGTACGCCGCATGCGATGGACCATCAATATCAATACAAACGCATTGCGGGCGTATTTTAGGGCGAAAGGGGGAGAAATTGGAGGTTTCGCGTATCGGGCAAGGATGCATCGACTTTTTGCTGAGCTGGAGCTATCTGTAACCGTCACCGAGCAAAACCTGGCAGACCGAGTCCGGTATATCTTGCGCTCAAATACATTTGATGTCACCGAACTCGAACGGCTACGACGTGAGGCTGTTCCTTCATCGGGTGAAAATGCTGCGGCTGAGGATGCGGCGCCACAACTTGCTGAGCAAACGGCAAATGTAGATGCCGCCGTGAATACGCCAGTTGTGGTTGATTCAAACGATGATGGAACAGTCGACCAGGAACTGGAACTAGAGTAAATGAGGAGTACATTGGAGGAGGCGATTGTGGAAACGCGCAGTACGCCTCTCGAAAATCGACCGCGACTTCCCCGCTTAACCCTAAGCAAGCGAAATCGGGCCGTCTTGAGGGCTCTGAACCCAATGCTGGTTACCTATTTGGAAGCCAGCCGGGACCTTTGCAAGACGGACTCAATTCTTTTTGGCAACGCACTGGCAGTCTGCCGTATTATAGGCGCCAAACTTTCCACGGCTGGACGCGCTACTGGACAAAGTAGTGCTATCCCAGCCTGGAGAACAAGAATTGAAGAACGTATCGCAAAGGCTAGGGCCCTCATCGGCAGACTGATATGCTTCAGGTCAGGCAATACCAGGCCAAGGATTGTGCGCACCGTCAGGATGGCGTTTGCTGGGACAAATGTTAGTTTGTCCCAGCCGGATATAATGCAAAAACTGACGGAGCTCATAGACGACCTGAAGCGGAGAAGTCGCTGCTTGGGGAAAGCGAATTCGGCGATATACCGAGAGGTCGACACGGTTCAACCAGAATCGTCTCTTCCAGAGTGATCAGAAGAAGCCCTATAAATCATTGGAGCGACCAATGGTAAGTGGAACCGGCCCAGTACCGAATCAGGCAGACACGGTCGCATTCTGGCGCAGCCTGTGGTCAGAGCCCGTAAACCACAACGAGGGCCCTTGGACGGAAGTTTTGGCGAGTCAGTGTGTCATTACGCCCATGGACCCCGTCACCATAACGCCGGATGACGTAGCTGAGGCGGTCCGTAGGGCCCCGACCTGGAAAAGTCCGGGACTCGACGGGCTGCATCACTACTGGCTGAAGGGGTTCGTGGTGTGTCACACTGTGCTCGCCCGACAGTTTCAAGAGTTTCTCAACCAGAAGTCGCTCCCGAGCCTCTTCACTACTGGGATCACCCATTTGGTTCCTAAAGGCCAGGGTACCACAGACCCGAGCAAATACCGCCCCATCACATGTCTACCGACCATATACAAGACACTAACATCCATTTTGAGCGCGAGAATCACTCGTCACCTGGACTCAAATCAGGTGATGTCGCGCGCTCAAAATGGATGTCGGGACGGCGGTCGTGGAACCAAGGAACCACTCTTCATTGACGCGGTCATTGGCAAAGTGGTGAAACGCAACCGTCGGAACTTCTCCGCCGCCTGGATAGACTACAGAAAGGCATTCGACTCGGTGCCCCATACATGGCTAAAGAGAGTCCTCGAACTGTACAAGATAGACTGTACAGTTAGAGACTTCCTCGAGCAGTGTATGGGGCAGTGGAATACGATCATTTGTCATCTGGGCGAGCGGATGATGGCTGCGAAGAACCACATAAGGATAAGAAGGGGTATCTTCCAGGGCGATTGTCTGAGTCCAATATGTTTCTGCCTCTCTCTGAACCCTCTCAGTACCTTACTGGAGGGCTCCGGGAGGAGATTTCAGCTACGGAAAGGAGGGACAAAAGTGACCCACCTTTTCTATCTGGATGACCTCAAGTTATTCGCCTCCAGTCGCTCCCATCTTATGGAATTGCTAAACATCACTTGTGAATTTAGCAATTCCATTGGAATGGAGCTGGGGACGGATAAGTGTGCGGTACTCCATGTTGAGAGGGGTAGGGTTGCTAACTCTGAGGGCATAGACTTATCTATGCCCGTCAACTTAAGGACCCTTCCGAGGCTGAAACATACCGATACCCGGGTTTGTCACAGAACATCGGTATCGGTGAGGCTGGTATGAAACAGTCAGTTTGCGACGTGTTTTATGCACGCTTGACCAAAGTGCTTAACAGCCTTTTGTCCGGTGTGAATAAGACACAAGCATATAACGGCTGGGTCATGCCTGTCCTCATGTATACCTTTGGCATACTCAGGTGGACTCAGACTGAACTTAACGCCCTGGATAGAAAAGTCCGCACTACCATGACGTACCACAGGATGCATCATCCGAGATCGTCGGTAATGAGGCTGTACTTGCCGCGAAAGCATGGTGGGCATGGCTTCTTTAGCGCGCTCACCATGCATAATCGCGAAGTGTGCAGCCTCCGTAATTACTTCCTGGCGAGATCGGATGATCCATTCTATAAGGACGTCATTTCTTGTGATAAAGGACTTACCCCTCTATCCTTAGCCAACGAGCAAAGGCAAGACCCGGCAGTGCAGACAATTTCCGACCGGGAGACCGTATGGAAGGAGAAGGAGCTCCACGGGAGGTTCTACAAGTCTCTACATGGGCCTTTCGTAGACACAGTAACCTCCCTCCACTGGCTACGCTTTGGTGACCTCTTCGGGGAAACCAAGGGTTTTGTGTGTGCAATACAGGATCAGGTTATTAAGACCAACAACTATCGGATATACATCCTAAAGGATGGCACCATCGACATCTGTCGAGCTTGTCGCCATCCCGGTGAGTCACTTAGGCATGTCATCTCCGGTTGTTCGGCGTTTCTAACTCTGAGTACTTGCACAGGCACAACCTAGTAGCCAGAATTCTACACCAGGAGCTCGCTCTGAAATACGGTTTCGTGGATCGGAAGTTGCCGTATTACAAGTACTTGCCGGAAGCCGTGCTCGAAAATGATCGCGCCAGGCTCTATTGGGACCGGGCCATCATCACAGACAGGATACCACAGACCCGAGCAAACACCGCCCCATCACGTGTCTACCTACCATATATAAGAAATTGACATCAATTTTGAGCGCGAGAATCACTGGTAACCTAGCTCCAGGTGATGTCACGCGCTCAAAATGGATGTCGGGGCGGTGGTCGTGGAACCAAGGAACCACTCCTCATTGACGCGGTGACTAGAGAACTAGACTACAGCAAGGCATTCGACTCGGTTCCCCATACATGGCTAAAGAGAGTCTTCCAGCTGTACAAAATTGACTGTACAGTTGGAGACTTCCTCGAGCAGTGTATGGGGCAATGGAGTACGAACCTTTGCTATCTGGGCTAGCGGATGATGGCTCCGGAGAACCACATAAGGACGAGAAGGGGTATCTTCCAGGGCGATTGTCTGAGTCCAATCTGGTTTTGCCTCTCCCTGAACCCTCTCAGTACTTTACTAGAGGGCTCCGGGAGGGTATTTCAGCTTCGGAAAGGAGGTACAAAAGTGACCCACCTTTTCTATATGGATGACCTCAAGTTATTCGCCTCCAGTCGCTCCCATCTTATGGAATTGCTAAACATCACTTGTGAATTTAGCAGTTCTATTGGAATGGAGCTGGGAACGGATAAGTGTGCGGTCCTCCATGTTGAAAGGGGAAGGGTTGCTAACTCTGAGGGCATAGAATTATCTATGCCCGTCAACTTAAGGACCCTTTCCGAGGCTTAAACATACCGATACCCGGGTATGTCACAGAACATCGGTATCGATGAGACTGGTATGAAAGAGTCAGTTTGCGACGTGTTTTATGCACGCTTGACCAAAGTGCTTAACAGCCTTTTGTCCGGAGTGAATAAGACACACGCATATAACGGTTAGGTCATACCTGTCCTCTTGTATACCTTTGGTATACTCAGGTGGACCAGACTGAACTTAACGCCCTGGATAGAAAAGACCGCACTACCATGACGTCCCATAGGATGCATCATCCGAGATCGTCGGTAATGAGGCTGTACTTGCCGCGAAAGCATGGTGGACGTGGTTTTCTGAGCGCGCTCACCATGCATAATCGCGAAGTGTGCAGCCTCCGTGATTACTTCCTGGCGAGATCGGATGATCCATTCTATAATGACGTCATTTCTAGTTATAAAGGGCTTACCCCTCTATCCTTAACCAACGAGCAATGGCAGGAAATTGCCGTATTACAAGTACTTGCCGGAAGTCGTGCTCGAAAATAACCGCGCTAGGCTCTACTGGGAGCGGGCCATCATCGCAGACAGGACTGTTCTTGCGAATAAGCCTGATATTGTGCTGATGGATCGGGCACAGTCAAGGATATTTTTGGTCGACATTACCATTCCGTATGACGAGAACCTCGTGAAAGCCGAAACAGATAAGCGAACAAAATATCTGGACCTGGCTCACGAGGTGACTGACATGTGGGGTGGTCTGCCAGCCGAAATTATTCCTGTAGTCGTCTCTGCGAATGGGCTAATTCCAGACAACCTCTCGGGTCATCTGAGATCTGGTCGGGGTCGGGTCTCTTTTGCATTTGAGACCACTCCGGGCTTAAATGCAAAAGGCGGTGCTCCTCGATACCGCCCGCATCGTCAGCCGGTTTCTTTCCCTTTCCCCCTCACCCTAGGCCGTTTGGTCTCCCCTGCCGAGGGATTCCATCTGGTTGGACTTTTATTTATTTATGTATAGTTATTTTTTCCTTTTATATATTTATCCAGCCCAACCAGATGTGATTACTCTATCAATGACCCCCAATAATAATAATAACGTTTATAATATTTGGCGATATATTGAAAATGGACTAAATTAGGAGTACCTTTAACAGATGAGCATGTATGTGTAGGTATATGGATATAGAGGAGGCAGAAGAGGTCTATCAGGATCGTGCCAAATGGAAGTCTGTAGTCTCTGCCTACCCCCCCCCTGGGCGAAAGGCGTGAGTGTTTATGATTTTGACGAGATGCTCCAAGGAGTCTGAAGTATATCAAGACGTTCAGGATCGTTCCAACCATCATATAAATACATCACAAATCCTCGCAACTAACACCGATTACTACCCAGATTTACTTGCGAGGCTATTGAAATTAAAAAAATATCCTAATTTCAATAATAATATGGCTAGGTGATATCGTCTGCTAGCAAACCCAAGCATACGACTGCAAGACTTCAAAATAATATAAGTTCCTACTATGTAGATCGGAACAAAAATTGATAATTTTATTCTGTGGGTAACAGCGGTATAAACTAAGACATCGGGATATCCAACACCTCAGTCCCCCGGACCATGGGTCATATAAGGAAATTTATAGGGGATTGGCCTTTCTTATAATTTAGCAGTTGGTTCAACGATTTGTATAAATTGCAGTCTCGGCAAAAATGGAATACAACAACTGAATTTTAACGGTCGGAACTGTGGTTGTAGTCACTAAGGAGAATACGCTGCCTTTCCATTGGCCATTAGGGATCGTCGATGAGGATTTACCCGGATCCGACGGGGTAACTAGAGTATCCCGCGTTAGGACTACGACTGGGTCATATATGCGCCCTGTTGTGTCTGTGCCCTTTACTCAATCAATAGTTTCGAATTACCTTTCTAGGTTAGATTAGTAGTTTAAATTAGGTTTAGCCTTAGAGTTAATTAGTTTGAAAAAGCGGAAAAAGAATCGGGTACTCTCATATATTTTGTTTATTAATTATTGTTCGCCAGTGTCTCTCCTACCTGTATCCATAAAATTCTTCCACACGCACTGAAGGGGGAGGGGGATCTAAAATCCACCACGCCACCTTATCGGCCAATCAGAAGCGCACCCCGCCGATATGGAAGTGGTAGAAGTGGCCTGTCCATATAAGGACACGTACTGCCGTCGCTCGCTTCTTCTCTCGCATTATAGTTTACTCCGCTAGTTGTTATTGCACTTC